TCCAAGACGCCCCAACCAGGACTCCACAAGATCCCAGGGTCCCAAGATTCTCTTCAAGAGATCTCTTTTGACGCTTTGACTTTGACCGCCTCCCAAGATGTTCCAAGACCTCCCCCAAGAGCTTCAGCTTTTCGAAAAAAAGAAACACGCGCGAAGCTTTGGAGCAGCCATGAGGAGGAGGACGGTGAGGAGGAGGAGGAGGAGGAGGAGGAGGAGGAAGAGGAGACGGAGGGAAGGAGCACGGAAGAGGAGGGAGGAGGATTGAAGGGAGCGGAAGAAGCGAAAGAGGTTGGCACGGAGGAGAAAACGCCCGACGGTCATGGGCCCATGGGGGTTGATGGTGATCCGCGAAGCGTGAATGATTACTTTGTCAATAGACTCGTCCAGCGATCGGCAGCACGGCCTGGACGTCTCGAAATCCCAACAATGATGAATAAACTTATCATTGCTCAAACTGCCGTTCGCAACTTTGCAAAGCTCCCTGAGGTCCCTGAGCATCTGCGATTCGTTGCCCTGATGGCGGTGGTACTCGTCCTCCGCGTTGAAAAGCAGGTCCACAACTGCTGTCATAGAGTGGGCCCAAGGTGGTGGCGGCCCGATCTCCCTCGTCAGCTCGCGCTTCACGATGGCTTCGATTCCTAAAATGTTGCGCTGTAGTCGACCACGGTATTTGTTCATCGATACGATGGCGAACTGCCTCATGGTGTGCCGCCGAAGCGACTTCATCTTCATTTTGCCCCGGTGGTGCGCGTGAATCCCGCAGGTGTCGGGCCAGAACAAAATGTGATGCCCCGCCTCGCGCACAATCTGAGTGTCGATCACAGTCGCAAACTTCTTGATAATGTTGATGTTGCTGCTGGCCCTGTCAGGGCACGGCATGTAGGTGTAGCTCGTGTAGTTGTCGGCCGACTTCGCGAAGTTCTCGACGTCCAGCACATCGAACTTTGCCGGAAGGCCCTGTCTAACAGCTGGCAAGATGTCCTTAGCTTTGGTGCCGTCGATCTCCACCGCCTGCGCCAAGTAGTACTCTTGGTACTGCGCCGCCCTGTTGCGCGCCATGTCGAAGAGGGTCGTGTTGAAGGTCGCCCGCTGGACGACAACTGGCATCTTGACCTGCTGCTCGAACGTCCTGTATCTAGCCGACGGCTTCCACTTGTGCTTCACCTCCACCTCGTCCCACATGTGCCCGATAGCGACGTGAACTGCGCGGTTCGGAAAGCGCAGCTCTTCCTTGCTCTTGTTCAAGAAACTGTCGACTGCCACGGCCTGCCTCTGCTTCGTGACGCGCGCCGCCATGGCGATGAGGCGACGGTGCTGGACGCCAATCGCCACCTTCGCCTTGCTTGGCATGAACGCTGCCTTGGCCGCAAGCTTGAAATCCTCCGCCTATGGGGGAGACACGGTTGCGCCAGCACGCGAACTGCCCCTCCCCCTCCCCTATATCCCCAGTCACCCTTTGAAGCTCTGAAGTTCAGACTCTAAAGCTCTGAGGCCTTGGAGTCTGAAGTTCTGAAGCTACCTTCTTTAGTCCAAGGTGTCTGGGGAAAGGGGGGGGAGGAGAGGGGCAGTAAGTGCGCTGGATGCTCGAGTATCCCCACGTTGCCTTCAAGTTGTAGATCTTCTTCCTCCCCACCGCCGCGCCGCTCGTCGAGCCAAGAAGACTCGCAGCCGCTGGTATCAACGTGGAGACCTGCCTGACCGTCTGATCGCGCTCTAGCGCCACAGCCTTCTCAAGGCCAAGAGTTTTCGCGTGCCCTGAGCTCGTTCCCCATGGACCCACCTCTGAAGCGAGGATGGATCCACGGGGAAACGGGAAACGAGCTCAAGTTACGTGAAGACCCCTGGCCTTGATGTCCCGACGAAGCTTGTCGGTCATCTTCTTGCTCTTCGCCGCCCTGGCGTGAGCTGCCCACTCGCGGCGGGACCGCTTGATGCCAGGCTGCTCGGCGACGTCGTCCAGCAGCGCGGCCTCGATCGCGTCGATGACCTCCGCGTCGTCTGCGCGGATGTGGTCGAACTCCGCGTCGTCTGCGCGGATCTCGTCGAACGCCTCCAGGAACGCCGGCGCCGCCTCGACCTCCTCGGCCCTGTACTGCCTGAGCAGCGCGTCTAGGTCGAGGCGCCCTCCTCCCTCCATCTCGACGCAGAGCGTGCACTGCGGCCACACTCCCGTCGGTGGCAGCCGCAAGGCTGCACAGATATGGAACGCCGCAAGCGGCAGAAACACATATGGAAACGACATTGTCGTCACATCACATCACCGTAAAGGGAGATGGCGAAAATGAAAGCCGCAACGTTCGAGCCCGAAACACAAACACGGAGCGAATCTCAAGAAAAATGATCACAAAGGCGTTACACGCTGACACAATTCCAAGACGCCCAACGGGGATTCACTTAAATGTCTCCAAGACGCTCTGGCGACACACGGTTCTTGTGAATCTGAGTGTGAGCGAGTCTGAGTATGAGTTGAGTTGCTTGCTTATGGACTTCCAAGACGTCCGACCATATGTTAATGCATGAGTACGTGCTTGACATGAGAGTGCGTCTGCCGATATCTATTTTCCTGGGAAGGACCAACGGGTTCTCTGAGGAGCCTTTGCCTAGTAGTCCTACCTCAGACGTCGTGTGCATGCTTTTCCTCCGTCTGCTCCTGCCGTCATCCTCGTTTCAACTTTCGTTACGCCCAGCCCCTCCTTCGTTTCCCACGCCCCCCATCCTCCTGTCCACCCTTTCCTCAATCGTTTGCCTCTCTCGCGCGTTTTCATTCTCATCTGTCCTCGCTCCTTCCGCAACCAGTTAAACCAATGTGCAATACAATGTGTTACGAACGACCCTGTGTTCCGTGGTTGTCATATGTTGCTGAGCACTCGGTCTCACAGTCTGGCTTTAGCGCAACCGCGTGCGGCAGGCTGGTGAAGATACTTCTGTTGTCGGGGGTAACCACTATGAAGATACTTCGGTTGTCCGGGGTAACCACTATGAAGATACTTGGGCTGTCGGGGGTAACCACTATGAAGATACTTGGGCTGTCGGGGATAACCACTATGAAGATACTTCGGTTGTGAGAGGTGACCACTATGAAGATACTTCGACATGTGTCATTGGTTTTCTCTTGATTGTAGAAGTTGCTTCTTGGATTTCCAGTGTAGTCGTGAATTGTGAGGGTCCTGGGGCGCCGCTTGCGCTTGATTTTTGGGCCTCTGAATAGAAATCCTCGAACTCAGCCCCCCAGCTTCACCCAAATCATGTCTGTGCTTTCGCCGCTCGAGGGTCGCCTGAGGTCAGGTCGGGCCTGTCCTTTCACAGAGGGGATATTCAAAAGTAGCCACAATCAAAAACTAGTGCGGGGATGATTGTTCTATTCTTTTGGACCACTCTGAGATATTTGTTGAGTATGTCTAATTTTCCGTCCAAAATCCCCTTGTAGGAGGACACTGGGATGACCGTGGGGGGTTCCAACTGGATAGGGGAGGGACAAGTGAATGCTAAAGTGGGCTATACCGGGCCCAACCTGGTTTATAAGTGGGGTACAAGTGCCCCGAGTGGCTTAGGGGGTGAGATAATTCCGCTAAGTGGGCGCAGCCCACTTAGCCCAGATCATTGACCCCCCCAAGCCACTCGGGGCACGTGAAACCCACTCATATACCAGGTTGGGCCAAATAGAACCCACCTTGGCATAGAAACAGCCCACTCAGGGCTGGTGGGTTCCTCCTGCGCGGGTGGGTTCCTCCTCCACCTCGTCCCCCCCCGCCTCCTCCCTCTCTCCACCTCGTCCCCCTCCCGCCTCCCCCATTCCACCTCGCCCCCCTCCTGCCGCCCCCCTCCTCCTCCCCCTCCCCACATCCGCTTTGGAACCCCCACTGTCATCCCAGCACGCCCGACCCACGCCTGGGCCCGTGGCCGCCCTCCTCCAGGAGGGCCGGCCTCTCCGCCGGCGGGCCCGCGCGCTCTCGAGGAGGGGGAGGAGGGAGGGGGAGGGGGAGAAGGGAGAGGCGGGGGGAGAGGCAGGAGAAGACCCCAGAGGGCGGGCGGGCGGGCAGGCGGGCGCGGGGCCCTCACGAGCAGGCGGGCGGACTCGAGGGCGGAGCGGGCGGACCTTCGCGGGTGGGCAGCCTCTGATGCGGGCGGGCCCTGAGCGGGCCGACGGAGCGGGCGGATCGCCACGGACGGGCGGGCGGGCCTAGCCTTCGAGAGGTGGGGTGGCCCTGACGGCGGGCGGGGCGGGCGCCGCGGTCGGGCCTTCTTGTCGCAGGCCTCGCGAGGAGGGCGGCGCCAAGCAGACCCTCGTGGGCGCTCGGGGCGGGCAGGCGGGCGGACCATGACGGGCGGACGAGGGCGGGGCGGGCCAGGCAGCCGGAGCGTGCGGCCGGCATCCCGCTTCTCAAGCCTTCCGTTCTGTCACCACGGTGGACGCACGCGATCGCAGCGAGACGGTTGGCGGAGCGAGCGGCGGGCGAAGCGAGACGCGGGCGAGGCAAGACGCGGGCAAGGCGAGGCTTCTACGAGCAACAGACTCGGCTGCCCCCTCTCCGCCCCCCTTCCTCTTCGTCGCCTGCTTTCTCTCCGCCTCCTCCTCGTCCTCCTCCTCCTCCTCCTCCTCCTCATCATCATCATCCGCCTGCTTCTCCGCCTCCTCCTCCTGCAACTCATCCTCCTCATCCTCACCATCATCCTCACCATCACCATCACCATCACCATCACCATCACCATCACCATCACCATCACCATCATCATCATCATCATCATCATCATCATCATCATCATCATCATCATCTTCATCGTCATCGTCATCGTCATCACCATCATCATCGTCATCACCACCATCATCATCATCATCATCACCATCATCATTATCATTCTCACTAAAAGTATCATTATCATCATCCCCATCATCCTACTCATCATCAGCATCATCATCAGCAGCGTAAGCATCATCATCCTCATCCTGATCCTCAGCCTCATCCTCATCCTTCTCCTTCTCCGGGTGCTCAGCCCCCGAGGCCGAGTCCGAGGAGGAATCCGACGAGCCGTTGCTTGAGTCCACCCGCGGGTCCGCCCGCGACTGGAGGCGCCGACGGGACCAGAAAAAGAGAGAAAACAGCAACAGCAGCAGCAGCAGCAACAGCAACATTCATTTTCAGACACGTATATCCGAAGCCCCCGATACCCGCCATCTTCGTCTTCGATCGTACCCTCCCTGGGGGTATATATCTTTCTTACCTGCAACGTGTATTTCGTGCACCCCCTGAGACAGGGGAAGAGAGAACGGATGAAAGGAAGGGACAAGGGGGAAGGAGGAGGTTGGGGCGCGAGAGAGAGTAGCAGAAGGGGGGCTGGGAGCAGAAAACACGTGGCAGAATCAGACGGGCAGATCGGGCGAATAGACCCTAACGGGCGGATCGAGAAGGCGGGCCCAGGCGGCCAGATCGAGCAGGCGGGTTGCTGAAGCATGCGTCTTGCATGAATCGCGAGGACGTTTCAAGCAACAGCGCGATTCCCAAATAAACCGGGAGTAAATCCACAGCGACAGAATGATTCCTGAGTGTCGAGGGCGATGCCTCTGAATAAATTGCAAGAAAATCCCACGCGAGAGTGCGATTCCTGCAAAAAGTGTGAGGAAATCCCGCGCAAGAGCGCGATGTGGGAATACATTGTGAGGAAGCATCAGGCGGGAGCCTCTGTTATTGTAAACTGGAGGCCAGAAAACCAATTCTGACACCCAAGACTTTCCCTGTTGGACAACAGGGCGCGAGCCCCGGGAAGGACACTTCAATTGAAAAAACACCATGTGCCCTAGAAAGGGGGGTCAACAATAATTATTCTGTAGAACCGAGGGTCCATCATCAACAACAACAGCAACAACAACAACGACAGTCAGTGTAAGACTGATCGCTCTTATTTGCCCGCGTGCCATTCAACGCGTATGTCCCAAACCCCCGGTACCCACCCCGATCGTAATTACCCCCTTTTTGGGACATATCTTCCCTACCCGCCGCGTGTAGCTGGCGCAGCCCCTAAAACAGGGGAAGGAGTGGAGGAGTGAAAAGACAAGGGGGAGGGAGAAGGATAGAGCACGACAGAAATTTGCAGGAATAGGGCCAGGAGCAGCAACAAAGCGGCAGAACCAGCCTGGCGTGTCGGGCGGGCGGACCGTAACGGGCAGTCCTGGCGGGCGAGCCCCGACGGCCAGGTCGAACAGGTGGTCGTTAAAGCGCCAACCCATCATGAACGAAAGTTCCAGCGATAACGCGATTCTCACGTAAAACCTTTAGGACATCCTTAGCGGGAGCGTGATTTATGGTTCTTGGGGGCACGGAGCCGCAATACATTGTAAGGCAGTACCACGCGAGAGCGCGATTGCTGGATAGAATATCAGGAAGTTCTGCGCGATAGCTCGAGTTTGAAATACGTTGTGATGAAATATCAGGCGGGAGCCGCTGTTGTTGTAAACTGGGGGCCAGCGGCGCACTTTCGCCACCACTCATTTTCCATACTACAAACAGGGTGCGAGCCCCAGGAGGAGCAGTTGAATTGAAAAATACGTGGTCACCGCGGGAAACCAACAGTTATTGTTTTAGAAATGAGAACTCACAACAACAACAACAACAACAACAACAACAACAGCAACAACAACAAGAACAACAATCGCTTTAACACTGCTCCCTCTTAGCTGCTCACGTACCCTTCAACACGTTTATCCCAAACCCTCCATACCCGCCCTCTTCGTCTTCCAACGTACCCCCATTAGGGGTATACTTTTCGTATCTGCAACTTGTATTTCGTGCAGCCCGTCAGGCAGAATAATAGAGGACGGATGGAAGGAAGGGACAAAGGGCAGGCGGGTCGCTGAAGCGTGCGTCCTGCATGAATCCCGAAGAGGTCTCGAGCGATAGCGCGATGTATAAATTCATTGTAATGAAATCCACCGCGAGAGCGTTGTCGATAGCGCGGCGTCTGCGAAGATTGCGAGGTAGTCCCACGCGAGAGCGCGATTCCAGCACAAATTGCCAGGAAGTGCCGCGCGAGAGCGCGGTTTAGGAATAAATTGCGAGGAAGTATCCGGCGGGAACCGTTGTCGTTGTCAACCATCATTTTGTTTCAGACTGTTCGCTCTTGTTTGTTCACGTGCCATTCAACACACATATATCCCAAACCTTCGGTACCCGCCTTCTCCGACTTCGATCGTACCACCTTGAGAGTCTATCTTCCTTACCCTACCGCGCATTGGGCGCAGCCCCTAAAACAGGAAAGAGAGGACGGATGGAAGGTGGAGGGAGACGGACGAAGCACGAGAGACATTAGCAGGAGGGGTCTAGGAGCAGAAAGCCACTGGCAGAACCAGACGGGCAGATCGGGCGGGCAGGCGGGTTGTTGAAGCGTGAATTCTGCATGAAGCACCAGGGGGTCCGAGCGATAGCGCGGTTCTGTGTAAGTTATGAGAAAAGCCCAAGCCAGAGCGTGATTCCTAAGTGTCGAGGGCGCGGCGTCTGAATTAATTGCGAGGAGTTCCCACACGAGAGCGCGATTCCTGTATCAATTGTGAGGAAGTCCCGCGCGAAAGCGCGATTTCGGAATCAATCGTGGGGACGTATGAGGCGGGAACCGTTGTTGTTGTAGCCGGGAGGCCAGGGGCACAGTTTGAACAGGAAGTCGTCCGTGATAAACCGGGTGCGAGCCCCGAGGGGGGCAGTTCAATTGAAAAATACAATGCGTCTCGGTGGGGGGATCAACAGTGATTCTTGTTCAAGATGAAAGTCCATCACCAACAACAACAACAACAACAACAGCAACAACAACAACAATCATTCAAGATTGTTCGCTCTTATCTGCTCGCGTGCCATTGAGCACGTCATGTCCAAACCCTCGATACCCGCCCTCTGTGTCTCCCATTGTTACACTTTGGGGTATACATTCCTTACCTGCAACGCGTACTTCGCGCAGCCCCTAAGGCAGGGGAAGTGAGGGCGGATGAAAAGAAGGGACAAGGGGGAAGGAGGAGGATAGAGCACGAGAGAGAGTAGCACAAAGAGGTTAGGAGCAGAAAACACATGGCAGAACCAGACGGGACCATCGGGAGACCCTCACGGGGGGGTCGGCAAGGCGGGCCCAAGCGGCCAGGTCGAGAAGGTGTGTTTTTGAAGCTTGACTATTGTATGGATCGCGAGGAGAGCTCAAGCGATATCGCGCTTCCCCAAATAAATCGTAAGGAAAGGCCAAAGCGACAGCAGTGTCGACGGGGCGGCGTCGGAGAAAATTGCGAGGTAGTCCCACGCGAGAGCGCGATTGCTGCATAAATTGTGAGGACGTCCCGCGCGGGACCGCGATTTTGGATTACATCGATGAGGAAGTATCGGGCGCGAGCCGAATTCCTTGTTGTAAACCGAGGGCCAACAATACAGCTTGGTGACACCTAGGACCTAGCTTTCCTTCAGCGAGCCCCGAGGGGGGCAGTTCAATTCAAAAATGCAATGGTTGCCCCAGGGGGGATCAACAGTAATTATATGTTGGACAACAACAACAGCAGCAACAACAACAAGAAGTTTAAGATTGTTCGCTCTTATCTGCTCGCGTGCCATTTGAAACGTCCATTCCAAACCCTCGATACCCGTCCCCTTCGTCTTCGATCGTACCCCCGTAAGGGCTATCTTATTACCTGCAACGTGTACCTCGTGCAGCCCCATAAGGCAGGGGAAGAGGGGACGGATGCAAGGAAGGGACAAGGGGCAGGCGGGTTGCTGAAGCATGAGGTTCTTCATGAATCGCGAGAGAGCCAGTTGGTCGAGCGGATGGGCCTAGATGGCCAGATCGAGCGGGTAGGCTGCCAAAGCGTCAATCCATCATGAAGGAAGTTTCGAGCAATGGCGCGGTTCCCAAGTAAATCGTGCAGAAATCCAAAGCAAGAGCGTGATTCCTGAGTCTAGGGGCCCGGCGTTTGAATACATTGTGAGGAAATACCATGAGAAAGCGCAATCCTGGCATAAATTCTGACGATGATCTGCGCGAGGGCGCGAAACTGAAATAAAGTGTAAGGAAGTACCAGGCGGGAGCCGTTGTTGTTGTAACCTGGGGGCCAGGGGCCCAGTTTGAGCACCAAGATTGTCCCTGATAGAAAACAGGGTGCGAGCCCCGGAGGAGCACTTGAATTAAGGCACGCCATGTGCAGCTGGCAGAGGATCAACAATAATTCTCCATGAGAACACTCGCCCTTTTCGTCTTGAATCGTGCCCCCCTTGGTGTATATCTTCTTTACCTGCCACGCGGAATTGATGCAGCCCTTAAAACAGAGGAAGAGAGGACGGATGGAAGGGGAGGGAGAAGGATGGAGGACGAAAGAGATAAGCAGCAGGAGTGTTAGGAGCAAAATACACGTAGCAGAACCAAACGGGCTAATCGGGCGCGTAGACCCGAACAGGCGGTTCGGAAAGGCGGGCCCAGGCGGCCAGGTCGAGCAGGCGGATTGCTGAAGCGTGACTCCTGTATTCATCGGGAGGAGATCTCGGGCGACATCGCGATTCCCAAGTAAATCATAAGAAAAGCCAGAGCGAGAGCGCGATTCCTGAGCGTCGAGGGCGCGGCGTTTTAATTAATGGCGAAGACGCCCCACGCGAGAGCGCGATGCCTGCATAAGTTGTAGGGGCGTCCCGCGCGAGAGCGCAGATTTGAAATCAATGGCGAGGAAGTATCCGGCGGGAGCCGCTGTTTGCTGCCAGCTGGGAGCCAACAGCACAAGTGGAGCCCCGAGGCTCTCCGGTGGCAAAAGACCAGGTGCGCTTCCTCTTTCCCCCAGGCCCGCCCCGTGGGCCGCAGGCGCGCCCGTTGTCCCAGCCCCTCCGTCCGTTCTCGGCCCGGCCCGCTCCGACCCCGTCGGCCGCACCTTGCCCGAACTCCGCCGACTCTCCCGCCCCCGTTTCGTCCCCCGCCCGGCTTCGCGCTGACCCTCTTCGGCCACCCCGCTTCGTCCCCGCCCGCCTCGGCCGCGCCGCTGCGTCCGGGCGCGCTTCGGACGTAAAAATTGTGGTTGTGGTTGTGGTTGTGGTTGTGGTTGTGGTTGTGGCGGTGGCGTCCTTGTGCTCGTCGCCGTTGTTTCCCAAGCCGTCTCGTCTTCCCCGCCGCCCTCGCCTCTGTCGCTGACGCCCGCCGGGACGTACCCACCCGCTCTGCCGAGCGCCCGCCGGCCCGCCCGTTGTGCGGCTCGCTCGCCCGCCCGCCCGAGTGCCCCCCATGCCCGCCGACCCATCGCGGCCCGCCCGCAGCACCGCCCCCTCGGGCCCGCCCGCCCGCCCCCCGCCCGCGTCAGTGTGACCGCCCGCCCGCTCGGGCCCGCCCGGTCTACCCTCTTCGGGGCCTGCCCGCCGTCCGTGCAAGCCCGCCTGCCTGGCGCGACCCGCCCACCTCTCGGGGCCCGCCCGCGCTTGCCCGCGGCGGGGCCCGCCCGCCTCGGCGGCTGCCCGCCCGCCCGCTGGCGTCGGTGACCGCCCGCCTGCGCGGGCCAGCCGGCCGCGCGAGCGTTTATCGGAGAAGGAACAGATGCCGATACGTAGCGCTGCTCGTCCTGGAGAGCCTTCGTCGCTGCGGCTGGACTCGCCTCGGAGTTCTGGTCAGAACGCACGCCAAGAGAGGTGTGGGGCGTGTGGCGGTATCGGTAGATTCTTGTCCTCCAAGTTGGAGCCCACCCACCCCACCCCATAGAGTCGCGTTCTTTCTCTTCGTCCGGCAACTATTCCTCGGACTCCTCGGGCTCATCTCGCGTCATGCTTTGTCGTATCACCTCTCCCACTCTTGCTCGCTGCTCCTCCTTCCACCGCTCTGGCTCCTTTATGTCGAAGGAAGGGGCCCAGAGGAAGCTCCTCGTCCTCCCTCCTCCGCTTCCTGGATACCCTCCGAGAACTTCTAAGGCCCTTTTCCTCTTAAAGCCTTGTCCCCATGCAGGTCCCTGGGGAGCATGGAGGCCTCTGGAGATCCCCAGACTCCAGAAGGGATTCAAAAGGTGCAAAAGCTCGACCTCCCCTCCGGCCTCACCATTATCCCTCCTCCTGCCTACTCGTTCCTACTCTTCTTCCTCGCTCTCATTATGCCCAACCTCACGAATGCTGACCTGTCCCACCCTAACTCTGCTGAAAGACCGCCCGCGCCTCTCCGACACTGCCTGACCGCATGTCGGTAGGTGTGGGTGCCCGTTGAGGCCCTGCGGGGTAAACGTTGCCACCAGGTGACGTGCGCTCCTCGCCCTCCTCCTCCTCCTCCGCCTCCTCTCCCTCCTCCTCCTCCTCCTCCCTCCTCCTCCTGCTCCTCCTCCTCCTCCTCCTCCTCCTTCTCCTCCTCCTCCTCCTCCTCCTCCTCCTCGTGATCCTTCTCCGCTTCCTGGTCCCTTTCTTTATTTCCCCTGCCCCCCCTCTTCCTTGCCCCCATCCAGCCCCCACAGGGGGCGCCCGCCCTGCGGCGGCCCGCGGGCGTGTCTGCCGGCGGCGGCGGCCGCCATCGTGTTGCTGACGCTGCTGCTGGCGGAGGCCCTGGCCTTCGCCGTCGCAGTTTTTTCGTAGGGGTCGTCGTCGCCGTCGTCGCCCTCGCCGTGGTCTTCGCCGCCGCCGCCGTCGCGGCGTTAGGTCGTCGCCCCGGGGTGTGCGGGAGGGGGTATTCAGAGATCTCTGGAGGTCCCGGAGGCCCCTGCGGGTCTCCCGAGACACAAAAGGGGAAGTGGATAAGGGGAGGTATCTACATATGTTAGCCTAGGTAGACCCACGTGGAAGAATCTGGGTAGTGCAATTCACCTTGCCGAACTTGAAGATGTCGACTCCACTGCTCGCGCAATCATCCCACCCACCCACCCGCAACTTGGTTTGCAAAACCCATGCGCAGGCAATTGCGATGAGTGCTTGGTGTTGGCTGGTGCATCTCTCCGGCCGCGCTAGCCCGCGCATGCTAGCGCGCGCAGCGGCCAGCTAGTTCGGCGCGACCGACGTGGCCGCGGTATCACGACAACGTCGACAACGGTAGACACAATGACGATATTAGCGATGTTGGTGACGGTGTACGACGACGGCACGGCCAGCAACGGCACTGATGCTGATCGCGCCGACGACGATGACGGCGTCCTCGCGTCGGCGATGAAGGTTTTCAAAGAAGTTCGACATGCGCGCGCGGCCGACGAGCGAGAGTGGCCCGCATGGTATTATTGGACACGGATCGTGCCCCCCCCAGCACGCGCGCAAAGGTGTTCGAATGATTTCGGCATGCGGCGCGAGAAGCCAGTTTGGCTGAATTACATGAAGATGTTGCGAAACCTATGTTCTTTGAAGAATTAGCAGGAGCGGAAGCGCAGGCTTGTTTGAAAGCTGATGTTGCGAAACCATATGTTTTTATATGTTTTCGCGACACTCGCATGTGAAATCCGTAAGGGCTTCACCCCCTGCCGCCGGCCCCCTCTCGGAGAATGGGCCATGGAAAAGCGAAGTCATGAGGCTTCGGCTTCGCCGTGAAGCAGTGTCGGGACCTGTTTTTGTTTTTCGACCCTGCCCTTACGAATCTGCGTGAGGGGTGCCGCCGAATTTTTGAAATGTTGCAAATCCCTCATGTTTTTGGACCCTGACCCTACGGATCTGCGCGAAGGAGTGCCGCCGAATTTCAGAAATGCTCAAATCCCCTATGTTTTTGGACCCTGACCCTGCCGATCTGCGTGAAGGAGTGCCGCCGAATTTCAGAAATGCTCAAATCCCCTATGTTTTTGGACCCTGACCCTACGAATCTGCATGAGGGGTGCCGCCGAATTTCAGAAATGTTGCAAATTCCTCATGTTTGTGAACCCTGACCCTACGGATCTGCGTGAGAGGTGCCGCCGAATTTCAGAAATGTTGCAAATCCCATTTGTTTTTGGACCCTGACCCTGCCGATCTGCGCGAGGGGTGCCACCGAATTTCATAAATGTGGCAAATCCCATGTGTTTTTGGACCCTGACCCTGCCGATCTGCGCGAGGGGTGCCGCCGAATTTCAGAAATGTGACAAATCCCATTTGTTTTTCGACCCTGACCCCGCCGATCTGCGTTAGGGGTGCCACCGAATTTCAGACATGTTTCAAATCCTTTGTGTTTTCGGACCCTGACCCCGCCGATCTGCGTGAGGGGTGCCGCCGAATTTTAGAAATGTGGCAAATCCTTTGTGTTGTGGACCCTGACTCCGCCGATCTGCCGGGGTGCCGCCGAATTTCAGAAATGTTGCAAATCCCATTTGTTTTTGGACCCTGACCCCGCCGATCTGCATGAGGGGTGCCACCGAATTTTAGACATGTGGCAAATCCTTTGTGTTTGTTGACCCTGATCCCGCCGATCTGCGCGAGGGGTGCCACCGAATCTTAGGAATGTTGCAAATCCCTTGTGTTTTTGGACCGTGACCCCGCCGATCTGCGTGAGGGGTGCAATTTTTACCCACCCCAGCAATTCAGACAATACGATTTGGGCGTGGTAAAAATGCCCGTGTTGGGCCTCCCCCCCTCGCACGGTCCATCAACAAGGAACAGTAAGCAGCAAGAAGTCAACAAGGAACAGTAAGCAGCAAGAAGAAGAACTGTTGCAGTGGAAACTGGAAGCTGCAACTAGTACAGGCAACTGCGAATCCTCGAAGCCAGGGGGGCCGGCGGATCTTTACGTAAACTAAGGTTTTTGACGGATTTCGACGCGCGCGCGCGACGACGCGCGCGTGCGCACTTCGTCTCATGTTTTGCAAACGGTTCTTGCGACAGCACGCGCGCAAACGCGTTCGAACGATTTCGACACACGCGCGCGCGAAACCTGTTTGGTTGCATTTCATGAACATGATGCAACACTGTGTAGTTGTAGTAATAATTTGCAAGTGAGCGCTTGCAAGCTTTTTTTTGAACATTCTTGTTGCGAAACCATGCGTGTTTACATGTATTTGGGGCACTCGATTTTGAAATCCTTGCGAAACCTCCGGTTTTTGAAGGATTTCTGCACGCGCGTGCGACGACGAACGCGCGTGCACTTCGTTGCGTGTGTTGCAAACGCTGTTGAAATCTCATGATTTGTGATAAACGAGCGCGTGCGCATTGAATTTCTCGCAGAGAATAAGGGGAGGAAAGCAATGCTGGCCTGGCTGGGATGATACGAAGTCAGATATAGGAATCATATGCACATTGCCATTCGAAAAGGTGGCCGGTTAACCCCGGGCGGGGGGGGGAGATCCCAATTCTTCTGTAGAAAGGAGATTTGATTGTTCCAAATGAGTTGACAAATTCCACGCTCTTGCAAACATCCCACCCACCCACCCGCAATTTTGCTTGCAAAACCCACGTGGTGATTGCGACGAGTGCTTGGCGTTGGCTGGTGCTGTGCGGCCGCGCTAGCCCGCGCATATTCGCGCGCACAGGGGCCAGCCAGCTTGGCACGACCGACGCGGCCGCGGCGGCGCTGACCGCTGGGCACTTCCCGGCGAGCACTTCAGTGCGAGCGCGGTATCATTGCGACGCCGACAACGGTAGACACGATTATGACAGTAGCGATGGCGACGAATGTGGCGACGATGAAGGCAATGCCAATGACGGCGCCGACGTTGATCACGCCCGCCGACAACGATGACGATGTCCCCGCGTCGGCGATGAAGGTTTCTGGAGGAGTTCGACTTGCGCGCGCGGCCGACGCGCGCGAGTGGCCCGCGCGGCATTGTTTGACACGGATCGCGCACCGCCCCACCCCACACCCACCACGCGCGCAAGGCCGTTCGAATGTATTCGCCATGCGGCGCGAGAGGCCCGTTTGCCAGAAGGCAATGAAAACATTGGAAAGTCTATGGTTTTATGAAGAACACGCAGAGAGCGCGAGCGCAGGATTTTCTGAAAATTGATGTTCAAAAACCTTGTGTGTATTACACGTGTTCGGTGCATTCGGTTTTGACATCGTCGCGAAACCAAAGTGCTTGAAGGATTCAGGCACGCGCGCGCGACGACGCGCGCGCGTGCAGTTCGTTTCATCCTGCTGCAAGGGATTCTCGCGACAGCACGCGCGCAAGGGCGTTCGAACGATTTCGACACGAGCCGCGCGGGAGATGCCAATTGGAAACATGTTCATAAAAATGTTGAAAGATTCATGGTTTTCTCACGAAGTCGCAAGAGCGCGGGCGCAAACTGTTTTCCGGAACTGCGGATTGCAAAACCCGTGTCTTCTATATGTTTCCGTGAGTCTCGACGTCAAATCTTTACGAAAACACGCGGTGCAATCTAAGTGGTACGATTGGTTCTTATGAACGGATTGACATATCCAATGCCCATGCAAAAATCCCACCACCCACTCGCAACTTGGCTTGCAAAACCCACGCGGCGGCGATTGCGATGAGTGCTTGGCGTTGGCTGGTGCATCTCTGCAGCCGCGCTAGCCCGCGCATGCTCGCGCGCACAGAGGCCAGCTAGTTCTGCGCGACCGAAGCGGCCACGGCGGCGCTGACCGCCGGGCGCTTCCCAGCGGGCCCTTCAGCGCGGGTCGGTGACGTGGGCGGGCCCGTTTGACACTATCATTAGAGTAGCGGTGATGGTGTCGACGGTGGCGATGACGACGGCAAGGCCACGACGGCGTCGACGTTGATCACGCCCGCCGACAACAATAGCGATGTCTTCGCGTCGGCGATGAAAACTGTCTCCAAATAGGCTTACCCCAGAGGAGTCCTAGCTCATCATACGTAATTGGTCTGTAGGAGCCCCCCACTTTTTCCAATGGCACCGCACCCCCCCTTTATTTCCAATGGCACCCCCCTTCCCCCACCTTTCTTGCCAATGGCACCCCCCCTTATTTCCAATGGCACCCCCCAGCTATTTCCAATGGAGAGTCCTATGGATCCCTATGGGATTCCTATGAGTCGCTTGCCCTTACTTGATATTGCGTGCTCTTGCTTGCTTGCTCTCGCGTGCTTGCTATCGTTTGCTTGTTCTTGCTTGCCCCTGCTTGATTGCACCTGATCGCTCGCTGTTGTTGGCTTGTTATTGCTCGCTTGCGCTTGCTTGTTTCCGCTTGTTTGCTTGCGTTTGCTTGATTTTGCTCCTGCCGTCCCCCTCCCGTCCTGCTCCCGTCCTCCTGTCGTCCTCCTCCCATCCTCCTCCCGCCCTCCCCCTGTCCTCCGATCTATTTGGAGTCAACGCTGGCTGATATTGGAAGGACGTCGACGCGCGCGAGTGGCCCTCGCCGTGCTGCGCCGCTGCGCCTCGCGATGCACTGTCTCGCGCTGCCCAGCCTCCTAGCCTACTTCGAAGAAGACGAACAAGAAGAACAATCGATACATAGATTTTTTACACGCACACTGAACAGAAAAGAGAGAAAACCGAAAACACACACACACACACTCACACACACACAGCAAAACCAACAACGACATGGCATACGCATAAGTTGTCCGAGCTCCGCGCGGATTTCTTGGGTCGGAGCCGGGCCTCCTTGGCGGCGCCTCCAGCGCCGCTCCTGGCGCGCTCCGCGGACCAGGAGGGGAGGGGGTCCAGCGCCGATCCGAGGAACCCGCGCGGAGCTCCTCTCGTGGTAGTGGTATGCTCCAAGAGCTCCAGGGCCTCCCCGATCTCCTCGTGCTTCTCACGGGCTGCAGCCACGAGGGCCGCCAGATGCTCCAGGATCTTTGGAACGCATCCTTAGCCAATCGCGTCATGTCGGGCCAGCCGTCCTGTTTCCTCCATTAGTCCGGCCACTCCCGCTGCACGGATGCATGCTTACACATGTTGGTTCCAGCTATACAGATGCAGTTGGCATTCGCCCATAAGCCTATCAGTCTCAATCCTCTGGCCGCCTTGCTCACACTAAACTGGCACGTTTGTGTGGAGCTGAGTTTCAAGCGCTTCGAATTGGAGGACTTAGTGCTGTCAACCGATCCAGAAAAAATCAAACAAAAACAAAAAACGGCCACTCCCGGAGGGCGGCGGGCCCCACGTGGACCCGCGGCGGCGAAGACGGGCGGCACGGGCGAGCGGCAGCAAAGACGGCGTGACGCAGCTGGAGCTGCGCGCCGGGGCGGGCGGGGCTGCTCTGCAGTGGTCTGTGTGGCGGGCCACCTCAAGGTCCTCGAACAGGGCTTGCACTTGGGGGTTCTTGCTTTCGGCGGCGAGCGAGGGTCGACTACACGTAAGAGTGACCCTTCGCCGGAGTGACCTTTGGTGCAGGCTCATCGGGCTCCCCCCGATCGCCGAGCACGATGCGATATAAGCGGCCCACGCCCTTGGGTTTGGCTCCCTCGCGCCCCCAAAAGCTGCGCACCAAAGGTCACTCTTAGCCAGGGTCACTCTTACGTCTAGCCGAACAGGGGGGGAGTGAGAAGGAGAAGGCCTTCTCAGAAGGCGGCGGGACTTCTCAGAAGCCCTCACGCCTTCTGAGAAGTTGTTGTCTGTCTTCGGGGAAGGCGGAGGAAACTTCACAGAAGGCCAGGGGACTTCCGAGCCTTCTGTGAAGGCCCGCTCCTTCTTAATCCCCGCCAATACTTGGTCTAAAAAGAGCTGGGCCTGGGCATCGGCCCAACAGGGTTGTTGTCGCCGTCGCAGATGTGAGCTGTTTGTCTGGCGGGCCACCACCTCAGGCCAGGTGATTGTCTGAGGTGTTTGTCTGACCTGGCGGGCCACCTCAAGAGTTCGACTCAACTCGGAGCCGCCCAGGGGCCTGAGGTGGCACAACATTAGTTCCGGCCAGCAGAAGGGGGAGGGGCCAGGTTCGAGGCGCTGGCTTCGGAAAGTGTTTGTTGCCTTTTTCGGCTTCCGGGTGCCGCTTTCGAGCCCCGGGACCGTCAAGAACGGAGCCAGGGTGAAAAGTTGCGCCAGATGGACCCCAGAAGAGGTCTGGGGACCGATTTTGAGCGGATTTGGCTTCTTTCCCTTTCCTGGCCGATTTTCTCGGGCCCCAACCAGTTCAGAACCCCGGCCGCCTTCAAGTCTCAAGTTTTTGTCTGACGGGCAGGGCTGAGCTCAAGTTTTGTTCCGAGGGCCACCTCCCAGTCATCTAGCGGATTGTTTTTTCCAATCGTGGCGTTCTCTCCCCCAGTTCACCTTCCGCGGGCCACTTTCGAGCTCCAGGATCATCAAAAACAAATCTAGGGTTAGAAATTGCCCCCAGAGGAGAGGTCGAGACCACTGGGCCCACAGACTGAAGAATCGCATTGTCGGATGTCTGGGCTTGAGCGACTGAAGGAGACGGGGTCGATTATGTGGACATTCGCGCGCCAGCTTCACGCGTGCGGTAGGGCAAAGGCACCCTTTCTTTCTCCGCGTTGTTCCGCGGTGGCTGCTTGCGTTGGCCACCGCGTAAGCCCACCACGTCCTCTCGCGTAAGACCCTTGTGCTTTCGTAGCTCAATTAGGGGCGCTCCAAATAGGGTCTCGCCTTCGAGGGTTCGATGGGGTTGACCTCTCTCTCTTTCTACGCGCTGTTCCGCGTTGGCGGCTTGCGTGGGGCACCTTGAATGGACCCCCATGTCCTCTCACTTAAGGGTCTTCTGTTTTCGTCGCACATTTGAGGTGCTCCAGAGTAGGCCTCGTCTTCGAGGGGTTGATGGGGTTGACTTCGATTCGTCGGCGGAAGGCCGACGGAACCAAAGCGGGGTTGGTCGGTCAGTGTCAGCCGTCGGAAGATTGGCAGAGGCGGGCGGAAGCAAAAGTTCCGCCCCCCAGAAATGTCAACATGTGCAGGCTCGGGGCTTCTGGAGAAGACCACTTGTAACGAGTATGATAGTGGCTGTGGTTGGTCTCCCTGGCGGTCACCCCGTTCGAGTCCGCGTCAGTGCTGTTTTCGTTGTAAGTGCACTGGATGACGCTGCCGTCACGTCCACCTTTCCCGCAGATGTTTTGATGTTGTTGTTGTTGTTGTTGGCAGTGGCTGTTCTTCCGTTGCAGGTATTGTCCTTAGTGTTTCAGCTATTGCTTGCGTGTTGTCCAACAAAGTCACCGCTGCTCTGGGAAGCGCGCCCCGTCCAAGAAAGAAACTCCTGTGCTGACAAAAGGTCCCTACCATTTCTTGTAGATCTCGGAGTCTGAGGTTCTGGAGTCCATGTCTCTGGACTCGCTACTGGATTCGCTGGTCCGGGCTCCGATGTATTGTATAGACTTGGCTATGTAGGCGTGCAGCCTAGAGGGCCCTGAACATCTCCTTGACGGGGAAAAGATTGGTCTGGGCGCTGATATTCATATATGGGAAAACCCACCGCAGTGGAAGATGCTGACTGGGGAACCATAGTTGGACATTGGAGTTAAATGTTTGGGCATGGCACGCATCTTAGCATTTCGCTAGACCGGTACGGGCTTATCATTAGCTCAAGACTCGCTTCAGAGGTAAGTCTAGCTTGATGGATAGCTTTCACCGCAGCTGTACGTGTGGAGATAGCACTTGCTCCATATGACATGCAGCGTAACCATCGTTGTTGCGTAACCTGTATTAGAGTCCATGGGGGGAAGTTTAGCTCACCACAGCCCAGCTTAGACGAGCTGTGGTAGCATCACTTGTCTTAACTTTGCCTAGCACGTCTTAGTGTGGTACAGGTTCACTTTGCATATGATACTTCAATTTAGCAGTGGCTTCGACGTTGACGTTAGGCAGAACCTTAAGTTTGACATTTGCCTTCAGCATAAGTTTGCGAGTGCAGGTTGCGTTTCTGATGTCACTTGGTGTAGTTGTTGTTTAGCGTCGGATGCCGTTTGCTCACGGCTGTCTTTGCCTAGCCATTGTGTCATTTATATCATTTCGTACTAGTTTGATTCCCATACGTTTCTAATGCAGTTGCCAGCTAGACCAAAAGCATTACAGTTGTGACTAGCCTTGTCTAGCTTAGGCCAGCCAGGCCAAGCCCAGTTGGGCTGAGCTTCGCGTGCTTCGACTCGGTGGGCTTGTTTTCTACCGTGGAACCTGGCTCAGCTACCTACACGTGTAACAAGTCCCAGCACGCCTAGACCCTAGTCGATGCTCATATGGGGCAAATTTCTCTCTCACACACACACATACACACACACATGCCGCATTATTGAG